TCCAAGTAGCTGGAATTACAGGCATGCGCTACCACACCCGGTTGATTTTTTGATTTATTGTAGAGATGAGGTCTCACTGCCCAGGTGGGTCTCGAACCCACGGGCTCAGGCAATCCACTCACCTCAGTCTCCCAAAGGCGCAGGAGTAGAGGTTGAGCCACCAAGCCCGGCATAATTAGCCTTTTTGAGTGTCTAGGCTGTTATCATTGTTTGTCTTTATTGGTAAAATAAAAGAATGCCTATTCCAGAGACACTGTAAGGATTATATAATAAAATAGCTATGCACAAAGCCAAATGCCTAGAACTTAAAAACAGACCAAAAAAATGACTCTTCCTCAATGAAGCCTTCCCTAACTACCATAGTTAGAATGAAAACTCTCTCAACACTCCCCATCTCTTGGCCCTCCCTATTCTTGTTCCATGCTTTCTTTTTCTTCTTAGTCTTTGCCACCAATTTTTATGCTATATATTTTCATTTCAATTTAATTTACATATCTCTTTTCTGCCATTGAAAATTAAATATGATGAAGGCAGTTATTTTTGTTTTGTTTGCTGCTATATTCTCAGAGCCTAGACTAGTACCTGGCAAATAGCAGGTGCTAAAAATATTGAAGGAAGGAAGGGATGGGGAAGGCAGGAGGAAGGAAAGAAAGAGGGAAGAAAGGTTGGTTGTTGAGGGGGAGAAAGAAAAAAAGAAAAGATGCATAAATGGATGGATTGTCCTAGGGAATAATCACTATGCTGTTTTGCAGAGTTTGTGAGTTATGCAATATTACTTGTATTTCATGGTTGATAGAACTCAAAGAGTTGATATAATATTCCCAGGTCATTCAACCTGTAGGAGTTCAGGAGCCTGGATATGGCCACTTGGGACATATACAATGATGTTCGATCGAATTTATTCTCTACCTCCTGTAAAATCAAGTAGACTTGAGTGATAGAGCTAGTGTTTTGCTATTATTTTATACATTGTATTCGAGGAGGAACCTGGAGTCCTGAGTGCACTAAGTTACTATTGGTCATTTAAGAAACTGACTGACTCCCCAGAACAGGCTGTAAGCATCATTGAAGTTCCTGAGGTCAACTTTCATAAGTGTATGTCTGCTAATAGCCTATCGGAAACAAGTCACATGAAAACTCAAGGAAGGAGTGAGTGATTTGCCAGAGTTAGGGTGGTCTGGAGCATTCTATAAAAACTCCCAAATTCTCTGCAAGCCCCAGCTTCCCTAGCTACCTTCCCAGACAGATGACTCGTTTTTACTTAGGATCCTATAATAACTAGTAATTTTTGCTGGTCAAAAACAAGTATTGACAATTTCATATTGTTAAACCTATAATTTCACCCTTACAACTACCTATCAGTTAGGGACTATTATTATTCCTGTTTTGCACAAGAAGAAACTGACATTTAGAAAAGTAAAGTAACCTGCTAACGTCACACAAGAGTTAAGTGGCCTAGCCCAGTTTCCAACTCGGACTATATGGAGCTCCAGAGTCAGTGTTTCTAACATCATGTTAAGCTTCTTCCCCAGGGTCATTGGTGTATCATTTATTGTCAAGGGGATAAGGGCTTCCTGGAATATATAGTCTGAGAAGGTGGCAGTGCTGGCTGAATGAGGTAGAGGTGGGGAGAGAGTTCTTTCTGGGAGGAAAACTTGTTGATTTTGATCAGAATCCTTTTTCCCAGGCAGATCCCTTTGGGGTTGATGTCTACCCTTAACCCACCCCACAGCCCTACCCTAAAATATTTAAAGCACTCAGGATGATGAGGGGAGTGGTACTTACTCATTAACCCCTTCCTCTTGACCTCCAGGCCTGCATGATTTAGAACACCCTGATGTATCCTTGGCAGATGAATGGTAAGAATTAAACAATCTTTCAGTGGCATTGGCTTCCTTTGTTGCCCTCTTTGGTTTCAAATTGTTTGTGTTCCTTTGCCTGATTTTCCTGGTTCAAAGGCAAAGGAAAGAGATGCTGTAAATATTTTAATTGCTCTTGTTTTGGACCATGTCATGTTCTTAGGTCCTACTGCAACACTGACCTACACCCTGAGCACCGTCATCTGTCTCAACTAGAAGCTATTAAGCTCTACCTCAGAGGCAAAGAACCTCTGCTCCAATGTGAGTGTGCTTTCAAAAGCATGTTGTGTCTGCATGGGATGGCAGAGGGAGTGGTGAACTCAAAACCATTTTCGCCTCAATTTTCAAGGGAAACTTTGCTTTGGCAGAGACTATCAGTCACATAAAATCCAGCCAAATATCTACTTCCTGTAGGAACAGGAGAAAGAGTGTGGGTTACCAAAAATCACACAAAGCCCCTAATCCCTGTTTAACCCTTTGTGTTGGATCTGGCCCCTACCGGACCATTTAGTCAAGCAAAATAATAGGATGGAAATGTTACAACTGGGAAGGGACTGTAAATATATGTTCTTCTAGCTCCTTTATTTTACAAATGAGAAAGCAAGGCTGGAAATAGGACTTGTCTCATACAAAGCCATTGTATAGGTCTCCTAGTTTTTCCAAGAGTAGAGTCACCATTGGGACACATTTCTTATTGGCATGGTATATATTCTACTTCTCCTCCTCCTACCGAGTGTCCTCTTGGGGAGCTTAATGAGTAAGAAATGGCCAATAGCTGGTGTAAAAGAAGCAAGGAAGAAAAGCAGCAGGCCTGGATACCCCCAAGGCAGGAGCCCTGTACTGTCACAAGATGGCTCCAGTAGCTAAAGTTTGGGAATGAGGAGAGCCACCAAAGATGAGCATGGCACCTGCTCCACCTCTAACAAGCATTACCTATTCAATGATGTCAAAAGTGTTTTACATACAATACCTTATGGAATAGCCACAGCAATCGTATGAGAGGTGTAGCTATGGAGAGGTGTAGCTACTAAAAACATCTTTGTGGAATAGATGTACTTTTAGGGGTATACTCTGATAGGGAATGGATCAGATGAACATCATGTGAGCCTAATTTTTCATTTTATTTGACTTCTTAACGGCACATATAAAAATATAGAGATAATATAAAAATGTATTTATTGTCACCATATAGCTTTATCAAATTTTATTATTTTTCCATATTTGCTTCAAGTACTTTTTAAGGAATGAAATATTATAGATAATGTTGAGTCTCCCATGCAGTCCTGCTCTGTCCTTTTCTCTCCCAAAGAGAATGGCCATCAGTATTTGTTCGTCATTTTCATGCATTTTATGCAATTACTACATAAGTAGGTATCCATAAACATGTAGCATTGTTTTTATTATCCTATATATTAAACTTAATAATATATAGTATAATATTGTATGATTGCTACATATAGCATATATGTACTACAATGTGTTTTCACTCCTTATACTTGTGAAACTTATTTGTGTCGATCATTTAGCTTTAATGCATTTGTTTGAATTACTGCATAGAATTCTGATAGGGATCTCAGTTTATCCATTGTTTTGCTGATGATGCATTGTTTTGTTTATTTCCAGTTTTTGCTTTTCAGCAAAACTCTATTGTGTTTTCTTGCCCCCAGTCATGGTGAGGACTGACCTGCCTTATGTGATAATTACTTGCCTTTCTCTGTGGGGTGATTGGAAAGCTTTAGGAGGCCTCTCCTAGACTTATGATATCCTCTTATCCCTTAGCTTCTTCCACAGATCTCTACTAAAAGTCCCACCAAATAGGGCCAGATATTCTCCTCTACCATGAAAAAATATTAATAGAAGTCACAAAATAAGAGTACCAGTAGTCATTAAGTTATATCTCTTTCCCACATTGCAATGGGCTGAGATCAGGTGCTGAGGAATTGCAAGCTTTAGTTGAGGAAGAGATGGAGATGATAAGAACCAACCATCGGAGGAGTACTGGCCTCAGCTCTCCAGGTCTGGAGTTGGCATGCTGGTCCATGCAGGAACCATGAGACAGAGTGACAGAGTGAGAAAGTAGCAAATCCAAGTGTGAGACACCCAAGCCTCTCACTTTACTATCATCTAGTCCAAATGCTTTGGAGGCTCCTATGTTGTGGGCAGATCAGGTGTCAGAACTGTTTCGTGTTTTCAGTTGGTGGAAAGCTAATTCATGCAACACACCGTGGGAGAAAGTAGCTGGCAGTCACTGCAAAATGAGCCAGCATACCTCTCATCCCTCTTCCAGCCCGCCCATGCTGTCTTATCTGTCCCTCCCAACAGGTGATAAAGAATTGATCCAAGAAGTTCTCTTTGATGCTGTGGTGAGTGCTCCCATTGAAGCATACTGGACCAGCCTGGCCCTCAACAAATCTGAGTAAGTGGTTGCACGTGCCCCCTTTCATGGCCATTTCCTCACCGACACTCCAAAATATGGTTATGGTTTAAAGAACTAAACTGTTTTAGGAGCCTGGTGTTAAAGTTCTTTAATTTTCCCCAAAGCTCCAAACCACAAGAGCTAGAGCAGATTAGCGGCTCAGGCTTGGATGGCAAGCTCCTGGGTCTGACATATAATTTGTTTGAGTTGTAACATTACATGAAATTCGGTATGCTGAGGTAGGGTGACACTTCCGAGAGAGAGGGAGGCGGAAGGAGCATTTTGTTTCCTGCCTTGCCACAGCTCTCTCTACTTCACAGTCTTGAGGGAACTTGGGATCTGGGCCAGGTTATGCTGTGAGTAGGACAGGGAAGTGAGAGCTCTGTTTCATAGAGTGTAAGATATAACCCTGGGGTTTTATTTATGAAGTATAGCATGGAGGGGGTGGGGGGAGGACAAGGGTAGTTGACATCAAAGACTAGAGCGAGAATGGCATTAGTAGCTTATTTGTAGTTTTTTTTACTATTATTTTAAGTAGACTATTAAAAAGAGGAAAAATAGCTTTTTTCCTGATAACTTCATATGATACATTATTTGTTTCTCTCCCCTTCTCTATTCTTCAATTATCCATTCCATCATTTTGTCTTCCCTTCTCTCCTGTCATCGATTTTATTTTCATTTTCATTCATTTGTTCATTCATCAAGTCTTGATAGTGTGTCTGTTATGTACCAGGCGCTGAGCTGGGTGTTGGCAAAATGGTAACCCACACAGATGGAGGCCTTGCCATCATGGTGCCTGCAGTATATAGTGTGTTATATTGTTAAGACTCATGATAATGACTTTGAAGGAAATGTAAAGACATGTAGACTGTAACAAGATATAAAGTGGAGGGGGAAGATGGGCTGGGGAGCATTCCAGAAAGATGGGCTAGCATGTGAAAAGGCCCTGAGGTGAAAAAGTATTCGACATTGGAAGAATATAAATAAGGTCAACATAGCTGACATGTAAAGGGTAGGCTGGAAGATGTCAGATGAAGCTGCAGAGGGTCCTGGTGACTCAGAACCTTGGGAATCAAGTTAAAGATTTTGGGTTTTATACTCAGAGTATTGGAAAATCACTGAAGGATTTTAAGAAGGTAGAATGATCAGAACTGCATGTTTTAGAAAAGATCTCTTTACTGCTATGTGAAGAACAGAGTATAATGGGGTAAGAACAATATTCAAGGTTCTTACAACACTCCCAGGGATTTGCCTGTTGGAACAGGGCAGTGGACACAGAGAGAAGAGGCCCACTTGTGGCCTGTGTCAGAGGTGAAACCCTTAGGACTTGACGTTGGGTTTATTGGATGAGGGCAGGGAGGCTGAGCCATCAAGGGACATTCCCAGGCTTATGTTATGAGCACCTGAGTAGATGGTGCTGTTCACTGGGACAAGAGATACTGAGAGTATCAGGTTTGGGACTATGCATGACCAGAGTCTCTTCTAGACATCATAAGATTAAAATGGCGGAAAGTCTCCCAAGTGGAGATGTCAGGTAGGTTGTTCAATATGTGATTCTGAAGCTGCAGAGAGAGACTGCCATTGTTATTATATTTGGGGGTGTCCTTGGACTGCTAACCAATATGGATCTTATTCCCTGAAAAGTTGGCAAAGAATTAAGCCTTCCCCAGGCTTCTTTTTCCAGTGGATGTGGCAATGTTTCTTTTAGGCTCTCATGAAGCTCAAAATCTTGAACGAAGAGTGCTGATTGATTCTGAACACATACTAAAGATTTCCAAAATGGTAGCTTGCTTCATAGTCCACATCTGTAACTGATTGGACAGCCTAGCTTTCTAGTTTGGTGTAGACTTCAAGCAGGAACAAATGCATAGTGCTAGCTTTTAGTCATCCCTTAAATACTTAAAGGTAGTATTGACCATTTTGACTACCATCAAAGATCAAGTAACCAATCTTGAATTGAAAGTTAACATGGATGATGTTTGGGGTTAAATTACAGCTAACATCTAGGACAAAGAAGCAAATTCAAGAATTGGTCTTCTCTTCATATTTTTATTATTGGATACAAGTATATGTTTGTAGAGAAAGGCCATTCGTGTTTTACAGAGAAGAAACGTGCATTGCAAATATCCTGAAGAACAGGCTCAAACATAAAATTTGCCTTGGATGTTGAAACAAAATTATTTTTAGTGAATTTTTAAATTAGTTTTCTGTGCTAAGGCCATTCTTTGAGTGTGTGGCATCCTACAGGGGTATTAGAAGAAGCCATTTTTTTATTTACATTGGTGTTGGTGATGAGAATAAGGCCTGTTCTCTGATAGAAGTTATAAATTGGTCCCCTACAACTGTGTGGAAGTCAGATCCTATTCCAGTTATGTGGAATTTCAGACTGAGGGAGGTTGCAAACTTGGCTCAGTGGCTCAGTTGCTGGTTTTCTCTAATGGGAGATTCCACTAATGATCTCAGAATCAAGAATAGACTTGGTGGCTGGGCATGGTGGCTCATGCCTATAATCCCAGGACTTTGGGAGGCCAAGATGGTAGGATCACTTGAGGCCAGGAATTCCAGATCAGCCTGGGCAACATGGTAAGACCTCATTTCTACAAGAAAATTGAAAAATTAACTGGGTGTAGTGCCATGCACCTTTAGCCCTGACTTCAAGAGGCTGGGGCAGGAGGATTGATGGAGCCTGGAAGTTCAAAGCTGCTGTGAGCTATTATTATGCCACTGCCCTTCAGCTCTAAAACAAAACAAAACAAAACAAAAAAGAAGACTTGGTAGCATCAATGCAAAAAACTAGTCCTAATGATTTTCTTCTTCTTCTTAAACTCCTTTCCATTCCCAGCCTGCTCTCTCTGACCTTGTACCCAAAACCTTGAGATAAAGATGTGTTTATGGTTGGAAGTACATTTTTCTGATGCTGCTCTTTTTGGCAAGGAGTTCTTCATTTTTTCTGCAAGTGCAAATATCATTGTGAAAACTTGTGTAAGGGATAAGAGTTAGCTTAGCATTCTAAGAGTTAGCTTAGCATCTGTGTGTGTGTGTGTGTGTGTGTGTGTGTGTGTGTGGTGTTTCTATAATGCCTTTTAAAGTTCAGGTCTCAAAACTGATTATTTTGTAAAACATTCCATGAGTCTTAATATGCAAAAGCCATTATCTGCTTACTGTCTAGAAGCATCTCCCTGAAGTCTGCTGTTCTGTTTCAGGAACTCTGACAAGGGTGTGGAGGTTGCCTTTCTCGGCACTCGCACGGGCCTCTCAAGAATCAACCTATTTGTGGGAGCTGAGCAGCTCACCAATCAGTAAGTAGGAGAGCCCCTCTGCAGGGGCCAATGAGCTCCTGAAATGGGAAATTCAAAGGGAAGCTTATTTTATTTCTCTATTCCCCTGCTGGTAGAAACAAAAATCAGGCCATCCCAGGCCTGTTGAGATTTTTCCTCTCTGTTCTACCATGGGGGCCCCAGCGTGTGTGCTCAACCTGCCAGTTAGCCCTTCCACAACCCTTTGTTCCTCATACTTGTTGGCTTCTGTCCACCGTCCTGGAGTCCTCTCCCTCTCTGGTGAGTCATTTCAGAATTCTAGGAGGTGGTGGGGCTGCTGGGGGAGCCGCCAGAGGGAGGAAGGGCTCATCTCCTGACAGAGGCCTTCAGGGCATTCAGCTGTTCTGCGGCTATGCCGAGGAATTCCTGCCTGCACCAAAATCAGTGTTCCAAGTCTTGTTTATGTGTTTGTTTATGTTTTAATAAACCTCTGTGCCTCTGTGCTTAGCCTGAGGGACTGCAGAGCCCCACACCCAGTGCCAGGCCGTCTCGGGGCACTGGGGTTTGACAATATTTCCTGGCACTTACAAAAAAACCTAGATGGACAGTGGGCAGACAGTTGCTGTGTTCAAGACCTAGAAGCCCTTTAAGTCACTTCCCAGCCTCTGTGTCTTCAGAGAGCCAAGGACCCTTAACTCATCAAATTGTTGTTTCACCAGAGCTGGTAGAAAATCTGTGAAATCTTTTCTGAGCCCATCAGTAAGTTTTCTGAATTCCTCTTCCCTGAAGCAAGAGGTGTTTTTGGACCAGGGACAAATGGATCCTGAGATTTAAAGTTTGAGTGTGGTTTGCAAGTGTATGTGTGAGTTCAGAATTTACCATGGAACATGCCATACCCAGATTTTCAGGGTACCTGGGGGTGAATAACCAAGCCTCAGGGTGGTGGCCAATGGCCCATCAGGGGCCCAAGGAGGAGATACTTCCCTCCCATCAGGCCTGAGTTCAATGGTGCTGCTTGCCTCTGTTAGATGAGGCCCTCACATAACTGTGCAAAATCAAATCTGATGAATGGCAGGTCAATCTGTTTTTAGATATTTTGGGAGACTGGCTTTGAATTTAGTTCCAGGACTTTGGCTTTGTTGGTATCTCACATTTATTATCTATGAAGTTGGCTATAGTTGCAACATTTTTTAAAGTTTAAAAAAAAAATTTAGCTTTTTACCCACGAGCAAATTTTTCCAAAGGGCAACTTCCTAGGAAGGATAAGAAGTGCTGAGATACACATTACCTTCTCCTGTTAGGATCCAGAGAGACAAAGGGAAACATCGGAATAGATTTTAATGCTCCAGAGGAATGCTGCTGCTGGTATTGAAATTAAAACAAGCAAATGAGAAACAATAACAACAACAAAACATGACAGCTTACTAGTCTGATATCTGTGTTATTGTGATGGATTTGAATGACTACAGGACTATGCTCAGGAATGCTGGAATGTGTACCTGGCTCATCTCACTTGTGTGCCTTCATTCTATTCACCTGAAAAGTGAGGGTAATTTCTTTTGATTATTGTGAGGTTCAAAACAGTTATGGGTGAAAAACTGCTTTGGGAAGCTAAAAATACTTACGACAATGAATTCCATTCCCAGTAGCATTACTGTGACCCAGAGTGGGTACTCATTGACTACCTAGATGGAGGAAATCTTCTGTCTTTAAGAAAGTCATATCATTGGATCCCATAAAGGCATCTTGATGTCTGTTGTCTTAGGATCTTTTACCTGGCTCTCCTCTCCTGTCAGATGGCATCTGTCAAGATCCAGTTGTGTGGATACACTCTCAAAGTCAGGACTAGAAAGTTGTTAGCATTTCTGGTTTGGGTTTAGTTTTTGTTTTTGACTAGGGCATAAAAGGAAGAGCTCAAAGTCTTGAGCAGAGGACTTGATAACTCAAAGTTCCCATCCTAGGATTACTTGTACTATCAACAGGTGCCTACAGTGAGATTCCATCTCCTGTCCTCACCACCAGCATTTGGAAGTAGGTCAATTCTAATTCTCAGCCTCTGCAACTTGGCCATCGTTCCCAGTAGTAACAGTATATTCTGTGCCTTCAGTGTGACCTCCACGATGCATTTAGTAGCCAGTGATGTTAACCTTCAGAGTGTGCAGCTCTAAGCTTAAAAGATGACCACTTTATACTTTCCATTTGAACCACAGGGAACAAAAGAAACCCTTGGGCTTTAAGAATGCTGTATTTTGTTTGAGCCTGTTTTCGGTTTACATTATACTCTTTCACATGTGGTATTATGTAATTCTGATAGTATCTTAGTAGGCACAGCATTATTATCATTCCCATTTCATAGATGAGTAAATGGGGGCTCAGACACTTAGTTATTCACCCAAGGTCATCCAGTTCTGTCTAAAACTTAGAACTGCCTGACACAATACCACAATAGCTCCTAATATCCAGAAGTAGGGTTTCATCTAACCCAGGAGGATCTTTCTTCCTGAAAATCATTTTTGGAATTCTGTGGAATCAGGTCTCTCCTTACTGCTCTCTCCTGAATCACTGCTCAGTAGTTGGCAGGGACCTTCCAGTTTCTTCGTAACCCAATCCTTTCACATTAACACCAGAGCTAAGGGAGATAAGTGTTGCAGGCTCTAGCTTGCTGCCCTGGATGCCAGTGCTGTCCTGAGTAGCAGGGTACTGGCCACCCAGATGTGAAGTATCCCAGGCGTATTGCTTGCCACCCCCAAAGCCTGAATGTCACCATCAGTCTAAGTGAGGAACACTTCATACCTTCTAACCCAGCTAGTGTTCCCATCTATCATGATTCTGGCAAAAGGCCTTATGTAGCACCATGCATTGCTACATGAACAAGCTACCTTTGGTGTATGGTGATGTGCCTCTAACCACTGAACATACCTGCCAGGAGTGAAACCACCTTCCACACAGCCTTGGCTGGGTGAGCCTTGGGTGAGTAATGAAGTGTCTGAGTCCCTATTTACTCATCCATGAAATGGGAATAATAATAATGCTATACCTACTATGATATTATCAGAATTACATAATACCGCATATGAAAGGGTGTTATGCAAACCAAAAGCAGGCAGCTGTTCATCCCGCCAAGGACTGGACAGCAGAGTCTCCTCCCCTACCTGTCCAAGTCAGGTTTGTAAAAGACTCTCATATGAAAAGAAAAGAGAAGAGAAAAGGCTAAAATTTCAATATTTGTGTAACCTGATGACTTTAGTTTTGGGAAATATAATCACATAAGCCAGGGGGGGCTTATTCATCATGCTGAGCCTAGAGGTCCCAATGTCCAGCACACTGAACAGTACGGGGGATCTCTGCACCTTCTCCTTCTCAGTCTTGCTCGTGACTCCAAAGTTGGCCTTGGCCTTCTGAGTGAGAGTAGACTGCATTTACCTAACTAAAACCAAAAGTTTTTAATTGCTGGAGACTCATCATGTCAGTGAAAGTCAGTAAACAAATGTAGGCAGCTATGTTATGTCAGACTATTTTTGGTCTATGACGACCAGTTCTGGTAGCACACCATTTTATAGCGGTCTTAGCAAAGTGAAGCATTTACAAAGGAAGGTGGCCAGGTTGATGAGGGAATTTGAAAGAAGTCAGAAATTTATTTAGGAAAGTTGTAGGAAATTGTCTTTAATACTTGAGGAGGTCTTATGTGAATATGAGATTTGATTTATTCTGTGGTCATTAAGCATACACTGAGTGCCTGCTGAGAGCCAGATCCTGGTGATATTGAGAGAAAGAAAGTCTCAGTACTTAGAGAGGAGTGAGGACATGCTAGTGCAAGTTACAAGGAGGCAGATTCCAGAGCTTTCTAAGAACTTGGGGAGTACCTTCTGATGGCATGGGCTTCCTCTCTAAAAAATGAGTGCCCTGTCATTGGTAGAGGTCAATGGAACTCTGGTGAGCCACACCCTACAACTACAGAATGCTTCTGCATGCCAACTTCAAGAAACCAACTAGTTACAACTTAATATCAAAATTTCTCTCCATGGTCCATGCAATCCAACTCCATATTGCAAACAGCTTGTTTGAAAGTGGTGCTGTCTCTGCTCCAACTGCTGGCCTCTCCCCTACCTACACATTGTCCCTGATTGGTCTCCCTTCCTGAAAAGTGTGGAGTAGTCACCAGTCATTTCTTCCCCCAAGTTGTACCATGTTAACCAAGATGAGGCACTCAGGTGCTACAGCAAAGGCATGACTCCCTAAAAGGAAATAATATCAACAAACACACATTGGGACTTGAGTATGCTTAAGACTTACTTGGGTATGTCTATGGAGGTTGCACAAATGTGAACCAAGATCCTGTCCTCAGAGATCTTCGGAGGCTTGGGAAGGGGACATGAAAATTGTGCAGATAATGCCAAGTAAAAGAAAGTTGTGTGAGTGACTAAGAGTGTGGGGACCCAGGGTGGGGCAAATGCTTGCACATGTCTCTGTGGATTCATGGGGTAGGTGATATATGAGATACACCTGGAAAATGAGTATGACTTTGAGAGAAAGGAATGGGAAGAAGAATGCATGTAGCTTTCCAGATAGGCCAAAGCACTGGGGGCAGAAAGCAGGAGTCAAGGAGGGCATGGATTCCCAGTGGGCACGATGTGAATCCTATTTGTCTGGAGAGTAGGCAGCTGAGGGAAGAACGGTGCAGGATCTTGACATGGGCCCATCTTTACCTCCTTTACACTTTTCCTAAGAAGGGTGATTTACCTTCTTTATACCTGTCCGAGAAGAATATCTATTTAAGTAGATTCTTCCAGGGTTTGTGCACATACATGTGTGAGGATTTCAAAGCTAGGTAAAACTTTCTGTTTTAAAGGGACCCTCCTCTGGTCTTCTAATATGATTCCTGGAGGCTTAGTTTTTTGGGGTGCTTTAGACTTTAAGATAAGTAGTAGCCGGGCTCGGTGGCTCAGCCTGTAATCCCGCGCCTTTGGGAGGCTGAGGTGAGTGGATTGCCTGAGCCCGCGGGTTCGAGACCCGCCTGGGCAGCGAGATCTCATCTCTACAATAAATCAAAAAATCAACCGGGCATGGTAGCGCATGCCTGTAATTCCAGCTACTTGGAAGGCTGAGGCAGAAGGATCACTGGAGCCCAGCAGGTCGAGGCTGCGGTGGCCGGGAGCGGCCACTGCACTCCAGTCTGGGCGACAGAGTGAGACTCCAACTCAAAAAATAAGATAAGTAGTTCACTAGATATACAAGAAAAAATTGTTTCACCCACTTGGAGTCTGACTGCCAGAGCTCTACGAGATATACTTGAGTAATCTGGGGTGCCCAATGTTAACTCAAGGTCCCCTCTGTACTGAGAATGGCAAGCTGGGATTCTAAAAGACAACACTGGTTTCCCCTGACTAAGGCTGTTGGGATGCACCGTGCCCACCTTTATCTTGCTGAGTGGAGCAATTCTCTTCTTATTCTTTTCCACTTCAAGGGACTTCCTGAAAGCTGGGGACAAGGAGAACATTTTTAACGCAGACCATTTTCCTCTCTGGTACCGAAGAGCCGCTGAGCAGATTCCAGGGAGCTTTGTCTACTCAATCCCATTCAGCACCGGTGGGTACCCTTGTTGGAGGTGGGCTCTGGCTGGCTGACTGGGAAGCCTGAGCATTGTCTACAGAGTGTGGGGGAGCTGCCTGAATGCTGAAAAGAATCATGGTCAACCTTGAGAGTTGGTGCTGATATGGGTCATCCCTGAACTACTGACCTGTTCCTTAAGTGCGATGGTCCCAAATAAAATGAAGGCTTTACTCTGCCAAACTGTGCAAAAGGCTTTCAGGATGCAGGGCTGGTATTTTGTACCCTATGGAGCTTAAATATAAACTTCTCAGGCAGGTTTTTAAAATGTTGTCATGGTCCCACTTAGAGAAAGTTCAAGTGTCTTTTGCCAGAACCTTCAGTAAGTCACATCATTTCAGAGGTCCACAATTCTCCTTGTGAACTGAATTGATTTAAACTGATAAGCAGGAGTCAGGACTGACTTTGTACAGCCATGTGCTCTCCTGACAGAAGGACGCAGTGACCAATGAGAGGCATGTAGATGCCTACTTTTTCAGTCCTAAGATTTCATGGTATGTTGGTACGAAAAGAATTAAGGTCACTCTTCCTCCAAGAAGAACTGAGTTTTAGAAGCAAAGTAAACTGAGAATGTTTCATTTGTCCTTGCTTTTTTTCTTGTCTCATGTATCTGTTATTTTTTGGTGTTCATTCTATATAAGGCTCTATACTGGACATTGTAGAAACTTCAAAGATGAATAAAATCTGGTTCTATAAACTTAGATTGCTCTGGAAAGTTCAATTTTTAATTATCTTTTACATCAGGGCCTTTCATATTAATCTCTTATAAACATCCCTATGTCAACCCTAAGGGAAACTCTTCAGTGCCTGTGTCTAGTCTTCCTCCCTAAGTTTTGGTTCTTTCTCATTTCCATGAGTGAAAATCTTTTCACAAAATTTGCTTTTGAAGTATGTGGAAGACATGTTGATAAGAGTTGACCAATAATTAGTTGAATTGACTCATTAGGAAAACAAGTCCTCATTAATGAACATATTTAAGGAAAGACTGAAAGTTATTCATGAGATTCTGTCACTGGTTGAGATTTCCAGTTAGATTATCTGTTAGATTCTTTCCAGGTCTGAGATTTTTTGAGTCTGTGCTCCTTTGCTGATAGGCCTCTGAGTATGCAAGCCCAAACATATGTGTGCTTTCTCAACTATAAATGTCCAAGTGTCTGAAGATTTTTCTTTATACTTATCTGTTTCATACTTTATTAATGAAAATATCAACTTTTTCCTTGTGCTGTAAACCTATGAATAATAACATTGTCTTCAATCAAGCAATCTCATGAAACTTCCTTTTTCTCAATCCTCTAAAGCAAAAATTAGAATTTAGTTGCTTTTCTTCTGTTTCCGTACTGGAATTTGGTGACAGAGTGGCTTTTGCCCAAAACTGGACAGGGAGAAGGAGCTGTGGGAGATGAGAGCATCTCCCCAGACTGCTCTGTGTACACGTGTGTGATGGTCGCTTGTGTCAGTTTGCTTTGCTCTTCACTGTTTTTTAGGAAAAAGAATTATGTCCAGAAAAAACAAATTCTGATTAATTAAAGCTGTTGTTGAATTGATTTTTGGTAAGTGGGATTTTCACTGAAATTTCACTGTAATTGTATAAGGAAATGAAATTTACCTTGTTTATGGTAAAGTGATGGATGATATAACGTCTTAGGAAATTTCATGGCCCCTTTAGATTCAGGAAATCACCAACTACAAGTCATTGTGGTAGAGCACTCACTAGTTTTCTCTACTATGTATTGAAAATCTGCAAAAACTGGAAAAGAAGTTGGTTTATATTGCTGCTGAGAGTTGGGCCAGGAAAAAAATTCTATTTGCTTCAGTCATAAGTGTATTCAAATTCAGGTCTGACTTTTCCCTGCTTCTCAATTCAATTGGATTACATCCAACTCACATTAATTGAGCACCTTTTATAAGGCAGGCATTAGACTAACAGTTATTAACTCTAGGCATTCAGAATTGTGCTCAGCATCTTTTAATTCACAGGTATTAGAACCATTGTTAGTAATTGAAAGTCCCTTAATACTAATGCCATATTCTTACCAGTTACCAGAATAATAAGTTTGGAATAAAGATTATACTCCAGCTCTACCCTGTTTAGAATGGTTTTGTTCAGAAAAAGTGGGTTTGAAATTAGAATTTTATAGATAAGTAAAGATTCAACCAATGAATCAGAACTAAAGTTGAGTTGCCAACTTGTAAAATAATTTCAAAACTCTCATTTAGCTCTCTGAGGCTATATTTAGACAGGCAATGTAAATATGACTGCCGACACAAGTAAACACTGCAATTTGTAACCACAGACTTCCAGAAAATGTGGTCCCTCCATAGTGGTCAATGATTTGGATATGAAGAGGCTGGATGTTCCCCAGGGCAGGCGGTCATAACTCAGGGCATTGATTCCTTCAGCTGAAAGGCCTGGTTGCATTGCACATGGCCCAACAGTATAGGCAGAGTATCCACAGCCCCGAAGACTCTGATATCTGGTAACCAAACCCCAGAACAATTTGCAGAATTTGTGACTATGGGTCAATATGACTACTCTCCTAACGTGGACATTATAGCTATCCTTATTTTTGTTGTGGTGGTTTTTCTTTTTACAGGAACAGTCAACAAAAGCAATGTGGTGACAGCGAGTACCTCCATCCAGCTCCTGGATGAACGGAAGTCTCCCGTGGTAGCAGGTAAATGATAGAGTCAATCAGTGAATACAGAGTGAGAATGGTGTTCATTCATCTGAACCAATCAACTACTTCCTGTACCATGTTTATCCTCCAAAAAGTTGGTTTTGAAAAAAGAAACAAAGTAAAATTACTTCCTCCTCAGCTTAGTGTCATCTCCTCCAAAACCAGGATCTGATTGCTGGTCATGATCGATGTGAAAACAGAAATCTTTCTCAGCGTTTCTATTCTTAAGTTCTGGACCAGTAAGAAATTATTGGACATGCAGAGGAGAATGTCTTGATGGCAGAGAGCATGTTCCTTTAAAGAAAACTCCAGACTTCTTGCTTCTATATCATTAGAATTACAATGGGTATACAAGGGAATTGCAGGCTTGTTTTAGGCAGACATAAACCAAAATGTGCCCTTCTCTAGAGAGACTGCGATTTTCATTACTCTAATCCCCCTGAGGAATTAGTTAGATGTATCTGCAGGTGCTACATTTGGGATCAGGGAAAAGGAAAAACATCTCACAGCTTAGAGTCTTGAATTGGCAAAGACACCCTGTCTCTGGCTTTTCCCGTTTCTCTCATTTTTCAGGAGTGTCATCATATGTCTGTGGATGGCTGGAGGCTTTCATTGGTGGTATTTGGCCTAAATGACTGTACACTGCCACAGACTTTTCTTTGAGGACAACTGCTGACCTAAATAAGACCTAAGAGTGTATCTGGCACGTGGTCTATTCTGGGTCTGGCACGTGGTCTATAATTGTTGGAGCCATTGGTTGATGGATGGGTGATGTGTTCCAGGCATCGTCCTAGTATTGGCTAGGTTTACCAAAGAAGGTCATTTCATTTCCCAGCAGTCTTCTTCAATAAATTGTACTTTAGGGTGACTTTGAACGTCAACTTCTCTATCTTCACATACTGTGAATATTTGTGGGAAGGAATGCAGATGGAGCAGATGGAGATGACCTGTTTGAAGTGGTTGCTCTTAGGCTAGGACATACTGCTTTTTTCCCCACCTTATTTCCGACTTTGTGCATTATAATCATATTAGTAGGGTTGAAAGGTTTGGAGACAGTGTCCTAGGTTGCTGGCTATGACAAGGAAGACAGTCTTATGTATCTGACCTGTGGCTCATCTTGAACTAAGCAGACATATAATTAATCAGCCAGGAAATATAGGCTCTGAGCATTCACAGTTGCTGTCTTTAAATTTTGCCACTTAATGTCTCATGTTCCTTGAGGAAAGTAGGAGACAGGATCATTTAACTCAGCAAGATTTATTTTTGTTTAAAGGAGGTCAGGCTCACTTACCTCCCGGCATGCTCATCCAGCTAATCCTGGAGACATGTTATCTCCTGGGAGCTAGGGCCACAAGCAATAGCTGTCAAAGACATGGTTAAACCAAAGCTGTCTGTCTGTCTGACATTTCTTTTAAAAAACCTTTCCTTGGATTTTCTGATCCAGTCATCATGAAGGATGCTCTGGGTCAAACCTAAGTCCACTGTACCTATCCCTGCCACCTCTGTCCAAGTTTAAAACTATGCTCACATGTTTCCAAATGGTTTATATTTCATAAATTCCTGTTTGGCTGAGAGTGGGTAAAATGTGGGCTCAGCCTAAGCACTGTGTATCCATTTCTAGAGAAGAACGAACATTTTCCAAATGGCTTGCTGGTCCAGTGTTGAGTTACACAGCTGGCCAGAGACTATAGGCTGGTCACCAGATATGGTTTGGTCCACCCTGAGTGAGTAGAAGAGGCAGGCTTCTGTTAACTGCTTCTATCTGTGTATCAAATGATCCCGATTTTCAGAAGAGAATTACTGAACAAGGCCAAGAAACAGGGCCATTTAAGGAACTGAATTTAGTTCTTACCTTTTAAAATTGGTGATTATTAACCTTATTTTTCAAACTGTGTTTGGGAGACATGAGATAAAACAGAATGGCTTGGTTTTGATCTTGAAGGCTGCCGTAGATATAGCCCATGAAGGCAATGACCTTAAGAAGACCTTTCTGTCTCTGAAAACAGATCAGCCTCTTTAGCACAGCCCCTGAGTTTCACTGACTCTGACTCAACTGTCACGTCACTGTGTGATTAGGCTCGATGACTTTCCCCGCATTTTCTTCAAATTAAGTAGACATTGCTTACCCTCTAAAATTAAAAAGGCTATTTTAATTGGGGAAGAAGCTTTGTTCTGGCAGACGAAGATGAATATGTGAGCAAGCTTGTCCCCCCTCCGTGTGCCTCCAACAGCAGATGGGAGACAGCCGACTGGCGGGAATTTGGGGTTTCAATGAATTCCTTGTGTTAAATTGGAACAAAGTTGTTCAAAGGTGTACAACTTTGAGAATAATTATCAAGGACTCCTTTGAAAGGCCAGCCCCACTCCCAGTCCTAATCTGGTATTCTCATGTTCATTGACTCTGTGTGTCTTGGAGTAGAAAGAGTGTTTTTGTTTTGTTTTATTTTATTCTCTTCTTTCTTTTTTCATGTTTTCTTTTTTAAACAAAAACATTTAGATACTCATCTGTCAATGACACCTTTGAAGAAAGGCCAGTTAAACTGGGCAAGAGTCCATTTGTACGTCAGCCTGGGTGCATAAACAGTCCTCATCCATCTTCTTGGCCTATGACATTGCTTACAGTCCTCCACTTGAGAAGCCTGCCAGCTCTCCAGCTGCCACCAGTGTGCTGCGTTTTCTTAATTGCTTTCCCACTGCATAAGAAGAAGTGGTAGAACTTTCCCTTGGCCTACCAAGTCTCTCCAGAGTCCTGGAACCTTCTATGTGTGTCAGGCTCCTAATCAATTTTTTCTGTTGTTATTGGACACTCAAACCTTGGACTGTAGGTCCACATAGGTTTGTCACTCACTCTACAACTCACTAAATGTGTGGTCTTGGGTCTCTAAAGATCAATCTAAAATAGGATTTGGATTATTACCTCCCTTGCCTTACTTGTCAGTTTGGGGATAAAATGAGAAAACAAGAAAATTCCTGGTTATAAAGTAGTATAAAAATGCTGGAATTTGGAGTAATCCATTTTTATTTTCAAGTTGGCAGCATATTCATTCATTCATTTATTTAATAAATATTTCCTGAGGCTCTGCTTTTGCCAACACTCTAGCTATAAATAAATAATAACTAGTATCTTAGTCCATTTTGTGTTGCTGTAACAGAATACCACAGACTGGGTAATTTATAAAGAAAAGAAATTAGCCTGGGAAATATAGTGAGACGCCATCTACCAAAAAAAAAAAAAAAAAATCTGGGCATAATGATACACACCTGTAGTCCTAGCTACTTGGGAGGCTGAAGCAGGAGGATGGCTTGAGCCTAGGAGTTTGAGGTTTCAATGAGCTATGAACAAACCACTTCACTCTCCAGCCTGGGTGACAAAGTGAGAGAAAGAAAAAAGAAAGGAATTTGTTTCTTATAGTTCTGGAGACTAAAAAGTCCAAGGTCAAGATACCTGCATCTAGTAAGGGTCTTCTTGCTATGTCATCCCATGACAGAATGCCGAAGGTGGAAGGGCAAGATGGCACACACAAAAGACAGAGAACAAGGGTTGAACTTCAGCCCTGTATCAAGAACCCACTCCCATGATAATAGCATTAATCCTTCTTAAATAGCATTAACACTTTTCAAAGGTCCCACCTGTCAGTACTGTTGCTTTGGGGATTAAGTTTCCAACACATGAGCTTTGGGGACACATTCAAACCATAGCAACCAGACTCAGTAATTCTCACCCCTGCCCTTCCTCTGCAGTCCTGTAACATAGCAGCTATGTTTAAAGCCATGTACACATAGGGCAAAATGAGTTCAAAAGCTGGAAAATTATCTGGAAGCTCCTAGAGATCAGGGACTTTGTTCTTTTCATTCTGCGCCTCGCAGTATAACCCAGTGGAGGACCTGGAACATAGTGATTCATCCCTTAATTAGAATTTTATAAATCAAATTGCACTTGCAGAAACCTGTTTTGCCCAAACTTACTCATTGTTGACTTGAGTTTCATAATTTACCTTGATTATGGTGACAGTTCTTTACTTAACCCTCTGTGGAGAGACCCAACATGAAAGCCCAGCAGTCATGGGCACTGGGTCCACCGTACTAGGGAAAAATGACCTGGAGTGAAGAAATGCACAGGGAGAAAGAACTGAACCAGGGTAGACTGTGTGACCTTGCAGGGACTATTTCCTCTTTTTTTTTTTTTTTTTTTTTGAGTTGGAGTCTCACTCTGTCGCCCAGACTGGAGCACAGTGGCCGCTCCCAGCCACCGCAGCCTTGACCTGCTGGGCTCCAGCGATCCTTCCGCCTCAGCCTTCCAAGTAGCTGGAACTACAGGCGCTCACTACCACGTCCAGCTAATTTTTGATTTATGGTAGAGATGAGGTCTCGCCAAGTTGCCCGGGCGGGTCTCGAACCCGCGGGCTCAGGCAATCCACTCACCTCAGCCTCCCAAAGATGCGGGATTACAGGCTGAACCACTGAGCCCGGCTTATTTCCTCTTCTTGAAGCCTGACCTCTCCGTTCACCTTCTAGGCTCCCTCCAACAAATACAAAATACCTACTATCCATTTTTTGTTAAGTTCAGACTTCAGAATTTTTAAAATAATAAATAATGAATTCTGAATTATTTGCTTTAAAATGTACATTTTAACATACCAAAATCTAAATTTGTTCCTAAAAACTTTCCATTTTGATTTTGTAGATAATTATAAACTCTGTAAAGGCAAGCACTATCTCAGTTATCTTTTTACTACAAGGGATAGCACATAGTGGATAGGGAGAAATACTGCCTGAATAAATGATTCACAGAAGATGGGCTTCATTTTGACCTGCTGTATGTAAGTACATAATCTTGCAAAATTTATGAACCAGACAATGAAAACATAATACTTGACTAAAACTCAGAAAACTAAAACTTATTCAGCAACTAAAACTTCAATCCATACTATAGTAATACGATACAAACCAATATGAATGTTTTAAGAAATAGAAACTTGTTTGGTGTCTCACCCAGT